GTGCAACTGTGAACCCTGATCAAACGGTTGCAAGGAGAGCGATTAATGCTGAGAATATGCTTGAAAATACTTAGGGACTCTCAAATTCCTGAACAAGCCACAGGCTCTATCAGGAGCTCTCTGCAGGAGCCCTCCGCGTTTAAACATCGTCCGATAGGGCGGCTTTTAAGCTAGTTAAATATATAAATGCGAAGTCAGTCGTCCTCTTCTGTCTCCTTGAAGGCTGTTCTTTTATTGTCTTCTATATGTCTTGTTGCAGTTTTTGGGGTACTATGTACTAGTGAGTTAGCCCAAATGACTTGACTCACTTTATAGTCCACCAATAGAAGGTTAACCAATCAGAAGACGTAGAACATTCAATCCGTCGTTTATAAAGGCGGCCATTTTGTTTACTTCTCTCCGAATGTCCAGTGCCAACTTGTCAGGCAAATAGGAACAGAATGAAGAACTACTGAACTACGCTCTGCTACTTTACCGGGATATCCACTGCTAACCTGAACAACGCTTCTCTACTGTCTTCGAAATATTCACTGCTAAACTCTGGATTCTATACTCAAAGACGACCGTCATCATGAACAACATGTCTTTCATCCTCAGTAGCCCCATGCATCCTGGTCGCTTTTATTGCCTTGTTAGGAGTGAAATTATTTTTTATGTTTTAAAAAAGCTTAAGAAATATTAGCAATTCCTTTAAAATACGTAGGTGTTGATTGATTAATTAAGTCCCAGATTCAGTGGACTTGTGCCACACTAAACCTGCCCTTTTCAAATCCCTTTATAAAAGAAACTATTCATAACTGAGAAAAATGTCTTCGTGAAAATTTCCTGCTCTGAAATGTCTTTTATTCCAATTTGGAAATCATTCTTGCAAAACGTTTTTTCCCTTCGCACAAGCACCACCCCGGTTCCTTAAGCAAAAACGTCTCTTCAAAGAATTCTGGAGAAAATCATTTTGACGATATGAATTGATGTGGCAACGAACCAAAACCTAGAACTCTATCATTCTTTTTCTCCCTCTACGACCTCTGCCCTTCTCTCTCCCTATCTCTGTCTTTCCCTCCCTCTCTCCTTCTATCTCTTCTTGCAGTTCATAAATTTATTCTCATGTTTAACAAAATTATGTAATAAAAATATGAGAGTCAATGTCTTGACTGTCCCACATCCCTCTTCTCCATAACAGCGTACACGAGTCACACTCCAGTGCAGAAAGTTCATAAAAACTTAGCACATGATTTATACATATATATATATATATATATATATATATATATATATAAGAATTCACTAAGACGAAAAATGTTTAGAAAGTGTTTTAATCGCTAGAACATCCACAGTAAATTTGCGTCCAGGTTCCTACCACGTTTCACCATTCTTGACAGATATTCTTTTATCACAATGTGGAATATTTAATAACAAATTGTGATGGAAACACAGACAAAAAGAAAAAAATATATATCTAAATAAAATTGGCTGGATTATAAACCCAAGACGCATATATTAATAAAAATTTTTTTTTTTTTTAAATTTTAAAATTGCCAGCGTTTCCCGTGTGTGCGCATGCAGTCGCATCAACGTAAAACGTAAACATTAACTTAGTCCGAGAAAGTCCTAAAGAACGAAAAACAGCACAAGAAAACTTTTGTCCAATTTCCCTTTTATATATATATATATATATATATATATATATATATATATATATATATATATATTATAAATTAATTGATTTAAAATATGGTTTCTTCGCTACACAGTTCTAACCAGGTTTCAAAAATGGAAGCTAAAAGCTTCGAATTTAATTTTTAAATTAAATTAAAGACATTAATTCCATTTCATCCTCAAGCGAATTTACAGGAATAATAAATAAGTTACTCCAAAAAAAGTGTAGCGAAAAAAACATATTTTAAATCAATTAATTTATAATATTAATGCTCTGTAAATTTACATTGACCACTATTTTGTAAAAATAAAAATATCTGTAAGAACACCGGATTATATATCTTACTGTTCTTTCTTTATATATATATATATATATATATATATATATATATATATATATATATATATATATATATGAATTATAATCAAACAAATTTTTTCCCATATATGATGAAAGTGGTCGTCTGATTTTCAACCCGGATGTGGTGTGAGTTTACTCCGGCTTCCCATTACTTCCTTCCACATCGGGATTGAAAATACTACTTCCATCGTCTACCGAAATAGTCTATACCCCACATGAGGTAAAATTATTTTCCGTATATTACAAATTAGACAAGAAATATTCGTGAATATGAAAAAGATTATACTAAAAATAAGCAGGCATGATGTTTGTAATGTATTTGATCAGACATGCCTAAAAGAGAAATTACTAAATACACAATATATATATATATATATATATATATATATATATATATATATATATATATATTATATGGACAAAGTCCGACAATTATTTTAATACATTTTATGTTTATACATTCTTTTATAGATACAAATATTTAAGTAAATGTTCTGTTTTATAATAAATAGTATTAAACAACATTTACTAGCCTGAATGTTCTGTGAAATTTTCTCGGACATTCAGGCCGGTAAATGTTGTTAATACTGTTTATTATAAACAGTGCATTTACTTAAATATTTGTATCTATAAAAAGAATGTATAAACATAAAAATGTCTTAAAAATAATTGTCGGACTTTGTCCATTTCATAATATATATATATATATATATATATATATATATATATATACATGGTGTGGGGATTTAGGCAGTATATCTTCATTTAAACATGTTTCGTTGAATAATCTGGACTTACTATGTCTATTCATGTCATAATTAACCTTTCTAATTGTCTAATAATTTTCTTAATGTCGAGATGAAATTCATTAAAGATGGCTGCATTGATAAGACAAAACTTAAGGTAACTTTGATCGTTATAATTTTTGTAAAGACGCGTGGATGCGCTCTGTTATAATAATGTTAAAATTAACCGTGGTAGCTGTGATGTTTGGATTTTTTTGTAAACAAGCGTTCACAATGTAAAGGAGTTGATGTCATGCCACCACTTAGTGCCCATGTCTATCGCTCGCATGCTCTTTTTGAAGACGTCCTTGAAGCGAAGATGAGGTCGTCCTCATGACTTCTTGCCGGTGCCCAGTTCCCCTGTACAGAAAGACGTTCGGAATTCTCTCATCCGGCAGACGGTGTAAATTTCCGAGCGAGTTCAAGATTGTTGGGAAATATTGGGCTTTCCTTTTTACCAATGGAAAAGGAAGGGAATGAAGATGATCCAATCCTGTTTGCGTTGCATGGTACACAGGGAAATACCATTAGAAGAGCAATCACCTTGCAGCGGTTTTGTTTGTGGGAAAAAGTTTTAAGGTGGGAAATAATCCATCACCCACAGGGGCGCAAGACAAAATTTAAACTGGAGAAATACAGGTCGATCATGTTTATAAATCCTAAAAATTCATACACAGATGTCTTCAAGAACACATGTCTCAATGGATAAAGACTAGACCTTAAGAGTTGTGAGTTCAATACCAGGCCACAGCAGTGGTGAATCAAAAACTTGGGGAGATGAGTTAAAGGAAAATAATTGAGACATCTGGAAGAGGCATGACAATGGAACAAGTACAATCTACCACGGTGGACGAAATAAAGGGTTCGGTTTGAAATTCTAATCGCCTGAAGAGGGTCGGAGCGTACAACGACCGAAACGCGGTGAATATTGCAATGGAGATAAGGATAACAGTCCGAATAACGTAAATAATGCAAGTAATCATAATACCTCATCTCAGAGATTTAATCACCTGGAGAAGGCCGAGGCGTACAACGACCGAAACGTTGTGAATATGGCAATGAAGATGGGGATAACACTCCGAATAATGTAAATAATGCAAGTAATCATAATACCTCATTTCAGAGATCCAACCACCTGTAGAAGGCCGAAGCGTACAACAACCGAAACGTTGTGAATATGGCGATGAAGATGAGGATAACACTCCGAATCATGTAAATAATGCAAGTAATCATAATACCTCATTTCAGAGATAACGAAAGCGTCTGCGATGTTTCTGAGAGTCCTTAACAAAAAGGTTATTTTTATGCCGCCTCAGTTCTTACAAAGCCCTGGACCGAAGAGGTGGCTTAAGCTTGTTTTTTTTTTTTTTTTTTTTAGGGACGGAGGCGGAGAACACTTTTTACAATTCCACATGGTTCACGTGGTCCAGGAGACGGTGTCCAAGAATTTTCTCCATCATGTCACCGACTTGAAGTGACCTGTGAGCTCACTGGATTTCAAAGCACTGAACTAAAACTTTCGGGCGTCACCGAGTGATAGAACAAACAGCTACTCTACAATATCAACGAATGCCTGAAAACAGGTATATAGAGGACATGAAAAAGAATCACCTTGTCAGGCAGGCAATCGCTTCCGAAGATGAATCAAAGAGAATCTCAGAGCTGAGAGATTTTTATTAAATTAGCCTCTTTTTTTTCCATATCGTTTTTTAATTTGAATATATGTACAATTTTTAAATATATATATATATTTTTTGTTCCTTTTGTGTATTTGACGCACCAAGGATATATAGAATTTTACACACACACACACACATACACACACGCACACACACACACACACACACATATATATATATATATATATATATATATATATATATATATATATATATATATATATGTAAATCTAAAGTTAACAAAATTGGTGTTACAAAAAACAGTGGTTGATGAAGAATATACATAGATGCACAACAATGGCATCATTTCCGTATGATCACCGAAGTTAAGTCTATTCAGTACCTAGGTGGATGACCGCATTGATAATACTTTGTCATCCATGTTTTTTTCTGTGGTGTGGCGGTCCGGGCTTGAATCGAAAGCCTCACTTTGACGTCACCAAACAAATTTCTTGTCCCTACATCCACAAATTTTGAGTGTTGTCTCTTCTGGCCATAATACTCTCTCCCAGTCTTACGGACTGAAGCACCAATTTCCTTTCGATCACTGAGGTTAAGCAACGTCGAGCCTGGTTAGTATTTAGATGATTGACCGCTTGGGAATACCAGGTGTTGTAAGCATGGCTGTGTTGTTGCTGCAATAGATAATGTGTCGGAATTGGTAATCGGAAAGCAGATTTTCAATTCCAGATCCGTTTGTTATATTCATTTATGCGCAACTACTCTTTGGAAAGGTAGGAATCAACATCGTCTTTCTCCAGCTATTTTTAAAATAATAAAAATAATAATTATTATTATTATATCCATAATTCACTGATATTTCAATCACGAGATATTTCAATATTTTCTCACGAGGCCTAGAGCTCCGATTACTATTGGTACAGTCTCAGTTTTCATTCCCCATATCCTATTATTATTATTATTTGTGTATGTGATGTTTCCTGCTTCGTATTTCGTAGAGCTTGGTTCAAACTATGACCCTTAGGCCCTATAGGAGAATTCTTATTTAACTGATAACACTTTTCTTAATATATGGTATTGTTCATAGGAGGGCGATCTTCTGAGCAACTTGTAAGTTGATGTTACCTGAGACACTGTTAGTAAAATTGTCCATTCCTTTTCTCACGAGGCCCAGACCTCCGATTACTATTGGTACAATCTCAGTCTTCATTCCCCACATCCTATTATTATTATTATTATTATTATTATTATTATTATTTGTATATATCATGTTTCCTGCTTTGTATCCTGTAGAGCCGGGTGCAATCTATGTTCCTTGGGCCCTATAGGCGAATTGTCATTTAATTAATAGCACTTTTCTTAATATATGGGATTGTTCATAGTAGGGCGATTTTCTGGGCAAATTGTATGTTGAGGTTACCTGGGACACTGTTAGTAAAATGTCCATTCCATTTTTCACGAGACCCAGTGCTCCGATTACTATTGGTACAGTCTCAGTCTTCATTCCCCACATCCTGTTAATCTCGATCTCCAGGTCCTTGTACTTGGACAATTTCTCGATAATTTTCATGGAGGTGTTTCTCTCAGATGGTACTGCCATGTCAGTAAGCATCCACTTCCTTAATCTCTTGTCTTTTATGATAATATCATGTCTGTTGGTTTTTATTTCCCTGTGAGTGTGAATTGGAATGACCCAGAGGATAGTTACATCGTTATTTTTGCTAACTATGTCTGGTTGGTGTTCCTACCATCTCTCAGTTGTTTCGATTTTATGCTTCTCGCATATCTTCCAGTGGATATATGTCGCTACCTTTTTATGTCTCTGGGTATATTCATCTTTTGCTAGTTCCGGACATCCTGAGATAATATAATCTAGAGTTTCATCATATTTTTCACCGATCCTGCATTTCGGGTTAGTTCCATCCTTGATTATTATTATTATTACTACTACTACTACTACTACTGTTGTTAATTTCTTTATAATTATTATTTGGTTATTTTTATCTCTAATTTTACATTTATTACTAGCTTTAATTTCTTTATTACAAGAAGCTTTAAATTTTATTATTTTTAATTTCTTTGTTATTGTAATTATAATTATTTTCATTATTATTATTGTTATTATTATATTATTATTCAATTAAAATTACTTTTTACTTCACATATTCTTGCTATTTTCATTATCCGTCCTCCTGCCTATGTATTTTATTATTATTATTATTATTATTATTATTATTATTATTATTATTATTATTATTATTATTATTTCCTTCTGGGTCCCAACCAGAAACCTAAGTTCAGAAATGGCTTCATGACATTTTCCACTGATCATAAAACCTATATAATACACATTTTACAGAGATAAAACTCTTCGTCATGTGTCAGTTGTACTTTATTATTATTATTATTATTATTATTATTATTATTGTGACACTATTTAGGGTTGCGTGAAAAAAAGAAAAAAGGCTAGAATTAAATTAGGAAAGACGATGTTATTTTTTTTCTAACAAGGAAAAGTGATACAGATTTTATTTTCATTAGCGAAGAAAGTAAGGTCGCGGAACTGTCGCGTTTGATTTATGACGGCGCACCGAATGGTGAAAATTTCAGGTCTGTCAGGTGGCCTACAGGGCAGAATTCTAAGAGATAAAAATTAATTGGGTCGCGAAAAACAAAAATGTCCGTTGGACCAACCGCAGAGTTACAAAAAAAGAAAGACTGACCCATTAGCTATCTACGTAGATGTCGTTTCGAAAAGGTACCTGTTTTCTGTCAGGAGCTGGCTATGATAAGAAAATTATTTTATCGAAACGCATAATTGGCTGTATCGCAATACGTCCAGTTAAACCACCCACTTGACGCTGACGAAAATCTGATTGACGAACCCCAGGGGACATTCGGATAAAGTTGAGATTAAGGGACCACACTACGAGTCTAAGGATTTGTTGTCGAGAAGAAGAAAGGAAGAGAAAAAGGAAGATTTTTTTTTTCTTTGAGAAAGATTTTTTTAAACCGAGGCCAGTCTGGACACACCCACACTGCTGTATCTATAAAATTAAATTGAATAACATATGTATTTTTTCTTTTCTCAATAATTTTGTAGTTTTTAAACTTAATAGTGATTAAATTTGGATTTTAAAATTGCCAGTTTTTAATTTTAATATTAAATTTTATCATATAATTTTATAATTATTGGTTAGTATAAATTATTTTTTAATATTACCCGTATTTTAAAGATCTGAATAGCTATTAAAACATGATTTCGTTGTCAAGCTTTTGAATCTTTCTATACTAGGTTTTGATTGGTTATTCTAGCTTTAGTAACAATGTTTCCCCCTGATGTAGGATCGTTAATTAATCTGAAACTTTTAAAGCCATTTATTTTATCTTCAACATCATTACTTGATAAGACATCGAGGGTGTTGAAACAAAATGGCTATTTTTGTAGTGATTTTATAACATACTTATAATTTTTTTATAAAAAATAATTATATATATATATATATGTGTGTGTGTGTGTGTGTGTGTGTATAGGAAATATGTATATGTATAAAATATTAAACAATGAAAAATATATATAAATATTTAAAAGATATATATGAAAATATATAAAAAAAAAAATCAATATATCTATCTATCTATCTATCTATCTATATATATATATATATATATATATATATATATATATATATTAGTCGTATTGACGTGAGTTTGTGACTCTGGGTTTTACACCTAGCGATCATCAAACAAACTCTGACGATTGCAATGACGTGAAAGCCAGAGTCACAAACTCAAATTAATACAACTAAATACGTTAGCTCTATCACCAATATATAGCTCTTTCCAATAAGTATCGTGCATGTATAGATAATATATATAGACATTACACACACACACACATTCAAATATATTCCTATATACATATATATATATATATATATATATATATATATATATATATATATATATATTATACACACACACATACACATATATATATATATATATATATATATATATATATATATATTATCTGATGTTAATTAATTATTATATCCTACATCAGTGTCCTATATTTAAACGTTCTTTATATAGATACAGTTTTAGTATACACCCTGTGTTTTTTATTTTTTCATTTTAAACCATGCCAATTGCATCGACTTCTCTACGTATTCGAGAAAGCTAATAAAGAAAATAGCCTCCTGTCAAAGTTCGAATCTGAACTTGCTTTGAAGGGGTCGGGGTAAATATATTAATACTCTCGAATTTGTTGGCCAGGAGATACAATTCAAACTGTTTAAAACAAAGCAAAACAATACGAATCGACTCAAAGGATAACTTTTAGATTCATAAGAAATAATGATGGATTAAAAAGTCATTTAATTCCGTAGAAATGTGTTACATATATATATATATATATATATATATATATATATATATGAAATGTATTCTATAAAATATTATCGGTTTCGCCATATTTATTACAACGTTTCGGCTCTTGAACTCTCCGGCCTTCTTCAGTATCTGTCTATATTTCTGAGATGAGATATTATGTACACTATTTACATTATTCGAACCATTGTCCTCATCTTTATTGCCATATTTATTACAATATTTCGGTCGTTGAACGCTCCGGCCTTCTTCAGTATCTGTCTATATTTCTGAGATGAGGTATTATGCACACTATTTACATTTTTCGGACCATTGTCCTCATCTTTGTTGCCATATTTATCACAACGTTTTGGCCGTTGAACGCTCCGGCCTTCTTCAGTATCTGTCTATATTTCTGAGATGAGGTATTATGCACACTATTTACATTTCTCGGACCATTGTCCTCATCTTTGTTGCCATATTTATTACATCGTTTCGGCTGTTGTACGCTCCTGCCTTCTTCAGGTGGTAGGAATGTCGCACTGAACCCTTTATATCGCTCACTGGGGTAGACTGTTCTAGTTCCACCTGCCATGGTCAAAGGATGACAGTTTCAATTATCACCGCCCTCTGTGGGATCAGGTTGAGATCATAGACAAGGAACACCATTGGAAAATTCGTAAACTTAAGGAATCAGCACATATGCTAGGCCACAAAAATCTCCTGAGCAGACCAAGCATAGAAATGAATACAATATGGGAACCAGGAATATGGAGTGCCAGAGAAAAGCGATAATAACAACAAAAATTGCAATATGAGCTCTGGTAAAAACATGATGATAAAAGCAACAATTTTACTATGAACATTGGTAAAAAATGGTTGCTGATGCCATTAGGTTTATAATACCCAGAAATTCATACACAAGGACACATGACACAGTGGATAAAGGCGTTGGTTAGATCCAGTGACAGGACCCAAAAGTATGAGTTCAATACCCGGTTAAGGCAGTGGAGAACATGGAGAGGGGAATAAACAAGAGATAACTGATAACTGACATCCATTAAACGTGGAACGAGAACAGTCTACCCCAATGAACGAAATAAAGGGTTCGACATTTTAACCAACCCACCTGAAGAAGGCCGGAGCGTGCAACGAAACGTTGTGATAAATATGACGACAAAGATGAGGACAGTAGTCCAAATAATGTAAATAGAAAGGTTGTAATATATATATATATAAAAAAGGAAAATAACTTTCTAAAAGTTTTAGAGAGGAAGAATTCTGGAC